CAGTTTACTTCTCTAATTTGTGTTTTTATCAGATCTAATTCTAATCAATGTAATTACTTCACACAGTACAAAATCAACAAATCAAAAGTGTCAGGACAGACGTCAATTATGTCCATGACAATATAGAATTCAAATGAACATTTCTGGTCTCAAAAAATACTGATTCAAGTGATAGACAATTAAAAATATGTTTACATTGGAGTAAACTTTTAAAATGCTTTTTTCTCATGTTCTGCTTTTTCATGTATCTATATGTAAATGTGTGTGTGTATGTGTGTGTGTGTGTGTATGTAAATTTTGGGGTTGTGTCTCCAGACTCCTCGAACCACCTGCAGGTCTCAAAGGTCACACTGGCTCGATGTAAACAAGCAAAGTGGGCACACTTCCAGATTGCAAAACAACTCACCCACCACTGCCTACAGAAAACCTCACTTTGTGGCCCCGGTCTCACTGCCACCTACGACCATCGGTCTGTAGTGGGGGAGGGGCACACGGAGGTAGCTATGTCGCCTTTACGATCTGCGGCTGGTTGGATGGTGTCTACTCTGGGCCACTGTTCTGATCCCTCAGTGTCCAGTGTCCAGCAGTGACCTCTCGTACAGTGTGGCAGAGTCTGAAAAACAATCCTTGAGACGGCCAATTTAAAAAAACAATAGATATCAGTATGCGAATGAGATTGTTTTTCTCTCTGAAGTCAAAACAATTTTGGAGCGCTCTGGGTTTTCCCACATGCGCTATGTAAATAAAAGATTACTTATTCTCTTACTAATGTTGACATTTTTAAAACCAGAAACTCTTAATATAAAAAAACAAGACTCAAATCTAAAAAAAACCTTTTTAAACTTTAAAAAATGTATTATGTACTTTTGTACTGTGTGATTAATTATCTATGCGTCCTTGGGTTTCACTTTATGGACTTTCCCTTTTACACTTATTTATCTCAGCATCTATTCTACTAATTTAAAATAATTGCTGCATTTTCAAAATGAAGTCAATATGAATTGGAGCACATTTTAGACCAGGCTCCTCTGCTGTGTGCATCAGCAGCAGGAGGAAGGTCAGGCGTGTAGTCAAAACAAAAACAAAAAGTCGCCACTTGCATGTGAATTGGGTAGTTTAACTTAATAATATAATACTTTTACAGCTAATTCCTAATTCCCTCTTTCTTTTTAGACGAAGTCTATAATCAATAATCACTTTTAACACAGATTCTAATTTAAATGTTTGAAAAACGGCTTTTGTAACTAAAATAAAAACATAAAAACAAACACAACTCACAAAAAGTTAAGAAATAAGCAGCAGATTTAAAAGAATGGAATCTAGAAATATGTTAGATCTAAAAAGAATTGCACAGCTTTAGCACTAATATTTGGGTTTCAAAAAACATATAATATTCAAAACTTATTCACTAATGGTGTTTAAAAACGTTTAACTGTGTCATAACACAATGTTCAATTGCAAATTTCGCAAATTTAACGGAATAACTACTATGAAAAGCCAAAAATCCTAAAGCAGTAGCTCTGATTCAGAGCCAGAGCAGCGAAGGTGGGGGCCGTTTCCCTGACAACGGCAGCAAGATAGAGCGGCACACACACAGGCAGAAAGATACAGAAGAATAACTTTCAAGATTACTTTGTTAAGCGAATATAACTGATGTTCTTTATACTTTTGTCATCCAAGTCTAGAAGTGATCACTTTCCACACTAGTAACAAAAGGCACTCTTGTCTTTAACGTTTACGCTTCTATTTTATCGAGGTAGCTAATTTAAACTCAAAATCTCTTTCTAAAAAACAAAAACAACTGTTGGATACAACCCTCTCATAGCTTAACTGTAGATAAAACTCGCCAAAAAATGTAAATAACTCACGAAAGCTCTCATAGCTCAATTTTAGATAAAACTCTGCATTCTCCGGTGAACTCTGTTCACTCCAAAAAAACAAACTAAAAAACAAAAAACTCCCTTTTTCTGTATGTAATTTAAACCGTGATCACTGAAATAATGTTGCTTCTTTACTTTTGTCATTTATCAAGCTTGGAATTGGTTAATTACAAAACTTTTTGTGACAAAAGGCCTCCTTAACACGTTTCCCTTTTTATAATTACTTTTAATTTTATACCATGGTTTCACTAAGGGACTCTAACCCTGAAGCTTCTTCTCAAAGGGACTTTAACCCCGAGACTTTTCTCAAAGGGACTTTAACCCCGAGACTTCTTCTCAAAGGGACTTTAACCCCGACACTTTTCTCAAAGGGACTTTAACCCCGAGACTTTTCTCAAAGGGACTTTAACCCCGAGACTTCTTCTCAAAGGGACTCTAACCCCGAGACTTCTTCTCAAAGGGACTCTAACCCCGTCAAGTAGCGAACCTGTTTTTAATCTAATCTGATCTATAGATACATGACATTTGGCAGACCTCAAAACAGACCATAATTTAGTTCACTCAATTAGCAGACTTTGAATAAACAGGTGTCCGCTCTTACCTTTTGTCGAACAGGGCGCCAGGCACAGTCAGAAGTCCACCAAATATCAGCTTTTCCACGTCCAACCGGGTCTCCAGATCATGAACCAGCGCTCACTAGTACCGGGAACTAGTTTCCATCGGCAGAGACCAATCGCACGTCAAAAATCCCCGGAATGTGGACATGGGAAAACAATTTTAAACGCTCAGTCCAAAAAACAGGACACAAAAAAAATATAGTGAGACAGCGAAAAAGAGTCCCGGAGCCGGTCGCCTCTCCAGCCTGCTGGACCGCTACCAGGCCCCAGACACTCTCAGCTCTCCCACGCCGAGAAAAAGAAAACAAAGAAAACTCCCTCAAAACAATCCAGAGAATGGCACAAACCGAGCCGCGCATTCTCCACCAAATCTGTTAGGATTTAGCAGACAGAGACGGATCGTGGTGTGCCAAACTCTGGAAGTTTATTTAAGTTTCTCTCAAGTTCCACTGGTTTACTCTGTTTCTTTCTCTCAGACAGAATAAAGGCAGTACACAGTTTATATAGTCATTGTCACGTCACACATCGAAAGACATACGTGTCACAAAGAGACAGTCAAATCATAGTCATAACATGGAGTCCTTGTAGAGTCCTTGTACAGTCCTGCACGTAGGCCATATTGCTATCTAATACTAATAGTCGAGCTGTTTTAATATGCATTGAGTTCTATGGGGAAAATTTCTGGGTAGCCCACGTGAATTTAGTCTGGTTCAGTCTGCAGTACCGCGAGAATCCCCCGAGCACATGAGTTATTCAGCTACAAGCTGTAATACCCTATCCAGTTAATATAATACATCCATGGGCCAAAGACCTCCCTGGAGAATTGGGACACCCTACGCACTCGCACCCTTTATCGGGAACGCGCAAATGAGGGGCGCGAGGGTGGAAGTGCGAGTATTGGGACGGGGCCCTCTTCCACTAGCGTCCATAACATGCCGGTCCGTCGACTATTGCAGTCCTACGGTCACTTCCGTTTTCTCCGGTCACTTCCGTTGTGACTTTCGTTAAGTTGTTGTGTTGTGACTTTCGTTAAGTTGTTGTGTTGTGCTTTCTTTAAGCTGTTGTGTTGTGGCGTTTGTATTTGTTTTAGCATTTGCATTTATTGTGGCATTTGTATTTGTTGTGACCCCTCTCGGCCACCGTAGAAAACAAATATCTCATTAACTTCAGAAAGTAAAACTGACGTTCTCTAGATCATATGTAATTAAAATGCCCTTGTTATGTGCATTATTGAACCAGATAGAAAACACTACACTATATAACTTTCATCAAAACAAAAGAAAGGAGTCATATCCCAAGCTTAGCCTTTATTTACTTTCTGCATCCTCCATAAAAGTCACTCATATCAAAACTCCGTTACATTCAAACAATTTTTTTAGCTGTACATTTTTTAGAAATAAAGTGCAATTTTACCATCACCACATCCACCTGGATTATACAAAATTATTACAACAGATTAACAGTGCATAGGCTTGTAAATATATCACATTTTAAACAATGCAACATGTTGAAAAGCGCCAATCAACTCATGCCGAGAAAAGGTCAGTTTGGGGACACGTTCTTTGGCATTTCGGAAGTTTGAAATAAGTAGCAATCGTTTGTCAATTCAGATTCAAGTCATGCATTAAGCGTTTAACTTTAAGTGGAAAAACACATGCGTAAAGATGCACTGGGGAAATTTTCTAATGAGAATACTTTGCCTGGATTTTTGCACAGAAGCTGAGGGAGAGCCTTCTGAATCTGCAAAACTTGAATAACTTGAGAATTAGATACTGATTGGGCTTTTTAATCCATGGAATAAGAATTTTTACAGCCAGATATTTTAAGTGTATTTTGGATGACTACATATCTATTGCCTCACTGTGGGACATTCCAGGCAAAGCTTCTCCACAATAGAAGCTAGTGCACACAGGAAAATCAGTGCAAACACAAAAGCAGAACAATTTTTCAAAATATCTCCAAAAGTGAACCTTTTAAAAAAATACTAATAATATTTTCAAAACATTCTTCATTCGCATACTGACACGCGAGCTTCGACGTGTTTGTAAAAGCACCTTGAATTTGCAGCAGTTCACGTTGGCAGGAGGTGTGTAAAAGACCAAAGTACATTCGAAAAGATGCTGCCTTCAAATACCACAGGATAAAGTTAGATTCCCAAAAGTCTTTTTGCACACGCATTTTTGCATTTCCAGACAGTACCAACAGACGAGAGGGAAACCAGAAAGACCCAATACTTCGATGCATTGACGCAATAATTGGCTAATAATGAGTAATAATGAGTTTGATTAGGAAAGTTGAGGGACATAAGCAAATGTCCCTCAAATATAAAAAGTATAATAGCAACAGATTTTAGTTTTTAGCTTCAGTTATTATGGCCCATTGGTTCAGTCCTGGTTCTCTTCCGTTTTATACATAGAAACTGAACTTTCTCACGCCTTGAATCTCTACGTAACTGTTGGAGGTGCAAAACCGATGCATTTCCTGTGGCGGCATCACACGCCTCTCACTCTTCCATCTCCTGCTCCTCTTCCTCTCCTTCCTCTCCCTCCTCTTCCTCCTCTTCCTCCTCTTCCGGGCTGTAGGCGCCGTCTTCCAGGTCGGTGTGGTCCAGCCCGTCCTCTTCCTGCGGACAGGAAACATAAAATCGATGCATTAATAACATGAGGTGTGTCGCAATTTTAAAAAGGTAAAACTGTTTTTTTTTTTTTCTGGAAAGTAAATTTAAGGAAAACGTGTGGTGTTCCTGACGCTCTGCTCTGTGAAGCAATGGTTCAAAGATTTAGAAAAAAGCAGCACAAGAAATCTAAGGCATTTACTGCAATGTCACTTATGGATAATGTTCAATCTTGATACAATTCCTTTATGAACACAGGAGTTTTTACAGCTAGAAAAGTAAGCAAGCAATCTTTATTACCTATATACCTAGTGTACATGTTTTTAGTGGTAGGGGAAACAGGAGCACCCGGAGGAAACCTACGCAGACACAGGGAGTACATGTAAACTCCACTTTCTGAGAAGCGAGAGTGCCATCAAGTCACGCCACGTGCCGCCCAAAGCCACCAATCTGGCCAAACTACTGTAGCTGGATATTTGCGGTTCGTTTTTTCCTCGGGCGTGTTTAGAGTCTGGTTTTGTCTGTTCAGGCGCGATAAACACAGTGAGTCACTGCATAGACACTGAAACCCAGGGCTGTCTCGCTGTGAGGTTCTAACCCCTCCTCACCTCTTCCTCTTCGTCTCCTTCGCTCCTCAGCTCCTCTTCGCTGCTGTCGTCCAGAAAATCATCGTCATCGTCGTCTTCCTCCTCCGCTGCGTCGTCATCGTCGTCATCGGCCTCCTCCTCTTCCTCCTCCAGGTCCGAGACGTGACCTGAGATCACAAACAAACACATGTAGAGCAGGTGAAAACAAAGTCAAGCGGAAGATCTTTGCCTGGTTCAGACTGGGCCCGATTCTCATGACTCCATTCTGGCCTGGGACTTGTAGGTGCGGAAAATTAACCTCTTGTCGATCAAAAAAGCCGAAAACTGGATTCTGTCTAAAATGTAGGTGGTTCTATCTGGTCCGGGACACCAACACAGAAACCCGCACGGTAAATGAGTGCGGGTCCGGATATGGGCAGGGCTTACATTTTTAGACCCAATTACCGCCCTAACCCAACCGCTGATGACCAATGAGCTCCAAAACTGCTACTACTATCGCCGGCTTTACGGCAGTTATTCTGTTCTCTACGCTTAGGTTATTGGTACTATCTGCACGGTCAGTTTGCTACGGCTGCTTGTCATGTAAGGCGTAGGGTCTCACAGAGGGAGTTGATGGCAGCGGTGATGTGGCAGGGAAGCTCCTCGTCCAGAAACTTCCTCATCTCGTCCTCCATCATGACGCCCAGCACCTCCGTCTCCATGTCCACGTACTCCGGGTAGAACAGGTCCTTACGCAGCTGACGACGACACCTGGACAAAAACCTTGGACATTTACCTCACATTACAAAATCACAATGCTGCGGTTGTGTATGATTATTATGAAGGGATGCTTACTGTTTTCCTGTCGTCTTGTAAGCCTGGGAAAGAGACAACATTTATTAAAGTTACAGAAAACAAGTTGCTTTTTAATGGGAAGAACTAGCATGGATGGAGCTAAGTAACTCCCTCTCTGTTTTTAACTAAAGAACAATGTTGTATCATTTAAAAAGGACAGTTAAATGTCATGTGATTAATTACCTCCCCAATATATAGGTTTAGATTGGAGGTTTTCCTGACCTCTTCCAGAGTGAAAATTCTACTACACCTGTGGTTCATAAACACTGGCCATTCTCTTTCACTTTATCCATTGCCCGGTTGTGGGTAGCAGTCTAAGCAGGGACGCCAAGACTTCCTTCTCCACACACCCTCTTCCAGATCCTCCAGTTTGTAAAAAACTTAATTTGACATAATGTGTTTTGTAATTTTCAGCTTCTAGTTGTGAGATCATTCCGAAACATGAATTGCCAATGGAAACTTTGTCAAGATGATGTACCTGAGAAAGGATGCCTCCCTCTCTCACCTGGATGAACCTGAAGGGGTCGTTCTCCTGCAGCAGGGTCTCCAGGCCACAGCGCACCTCCTGAAGCCGGGCCTTGTCCTGACCGATCCGGGAGATGTTTATCTGGATGGTGGGGCCGTTCGTGTCCCACTGCGCCCGGCTGCTCTGCTTCAGACGCCCAATGAAACGGAGCACTTTGGCCTTTAGCTCCTCCCCCAGACGGGTCAGGCTCTGGTCCGAGTCCTCCATGAACCTCTGTGGGAAAGAGAACAGTGGCCTCTCCAGTGATCGAAAATCAAATATTCATAAATACTTTCATTAGCATTGAAATTAAATTCTTATCTATAGATACTAAATTAAATTACACGGATAGGGCTACATTTTACATTGCTTGATACTATATTAGAAGAATGTGTCTAAACTCTTGTGACCCAATAAAAGTGTTGTGTATGAATCTGTTAGGATTTAGCAGAGAGAGACGGATCGTGGTGTGCCAAACTCTGGAAGTTTATTTAAGTTTCTCGCAAGTTCCACTGGTTTACTCTGTTTCTTTCTCCCAGACAGAATAAAGGCAGTACACAGTTTATATAGTCATTGTCACGTCACACATTGAAAGACATACGTGTCACAAAGAGACAGTCACATCAGAGTCATAACATGGAGTCCTTGTAGAGTCCTTGTACAGTCCTGCACGAAGGCCATATTGCTATCTAATACTAACATATTGTGTAAATCGCAGTGGTGTAAGTATTTTTTCCAGTATCAAAGTTCCGGTTGAAATTTAGTATTATGACAACACTACAGAAAACTTCTTATGCTGATACATGAATAATATACAGAGGACACTTCCAATAAACCACTTTTTTTTATCTACTACATTATATAACGTGAGCCGTAACACATTAAAACCAAATAGCTCATTAGATCAGTGGCAGTACTGGTACATCGCTGTCTACCAAAGACATAATGGGCTTGTACTCCTCTTGTGTGGAAAATGGTTGTCAAAGTACCAAAACGAATACACTAAATGCTAGGATGAACATTTCGTTTTAAACTTCAATAAATGCTTTTGGACCAAACCCGTGCAGCAGTGTTCTGGTGTAACACCCTTTGTCACCCTTACTTTGTTCTGTCGCTCCTTCTCCTTCTGCTCCTGAAGTTTCTTCTCCGCGAGGCTGAACTTGCGCTCCACTCTGTACATCTGCTTATCCAGACTGACCTGAGAACAGCACAGGTCAGATCAACACTCCAGCATCAAACAGGCTGCCACCCTAGAACAACATTTATACACGTAAGAAACCTCTCAGAACTGGAAGACATTTTTAGAGAAGAATGGGCAGAGAGGGCAACGAGAATTGACACAAATTAACCGTTGCCAACAAAACAGGTTCACAGGTTGCAAAAATTCTTGAAAACTTAGTTGAAGAAATGTAAAATCTGTAAATCCATATCTATTGAAGATGACTACACTTACATGACAACAGATCCTTTTCACTAGACAATTTTCAGACAAATCTTTTTAGGAGCCAGTACTTTTGGTTTAAAAGAAGAAAACAGCTGTTAATGGTGTCACAGTCAGAGGATTCGTCAGAGTCAGAGGATTCGTCAGAGTCAGAGGATTCGTCAGAGTCAGAGGATTCGTCAGAGTCAGAGGATTCGTCAGAGTCAGAAGATTCGTCAGAGTCAGAGGATTTGTCAGAGTCAGAGGATTCCTCACAGTCAGAGGATTCGTCAGAGTCAGAGGATTCCTCACAGTCAGGATTCGTCAGAGTCAGAGGATTCGTCAGAGTCAGAGGATTCGTCAGAGTCAGAGGATTCGTCAGAGTCAGAGGATTCCTCAGAGTCAGAGGATTCCTCAGAGTCAGAGGATTCCTCACAGTCAGAGGATTCGTCAGAGTCAGAGGATTCCTCAGAGTCAGAGGATTCCTCAGAGTCAGAGGATTCCTCAGAGTCAGAGGATTCCTCACAGTCAGAGGATTCGTCAGAGTCAGAGGATTCCTCACAGTCAGGATTCGTCAGAGTCAGAGGATTCGTCAGAGTCAGAGGATTCGTCATAGTCAGAGGATTGCATAACAACTTTGAACCAGACCATTTCTACACAAGGATTATACAAGTTTGTGCCGGATGTTTCTGCTATTCGGCAGTTGTGTTTTGGAGTAATATGTGAATCTTCCATACTGAACTCTCCAAAGGGATTTTTACCTTGAGATCCTTCATGGTGTTTTTGAGTGTTTTGATGGTGTGTCCAGAGTGTCCGCCTTCGATGGTGCAGGCGTTACACACACACACTTTGTCGTCCATGCAGTAGTATCTGAGAACGCAGAGAACTCTTGTAATAAAGAGACATATGAGGAAATACGTACATCATCATAAGATCCTGTCGAGTACCTGTAGACCTCATCGTGCTCTGGACACTTCCTCTTCCAGAAGTCGCACATGGGTTCTGCCAGTGGGTGCTCTCTGAACGCAGGCAGCTCCAGATGAGGCTTCACGTGCTCCTGACACATCGACACTTCACATTTCAGACAGGTCTTCACCGCAAACCTCTTCCCCACATCTCCTTCCTCCAGAGCCAGGGAACAACCTGCCAACAGGTCAGTGGGACAGTTACACAGCAAGAAACAGCAACAATTTGTGATTCAATCTGGAAGATGTGGATATAAAACAGTGAACAAGTTAACCCGGCCCTCAGTCCATCTCCACTGAAAAATATAAGGAAGTAAAAATTGAACTAAGAAACTTTTAGCTTGATTCAAGTATATTTTGAAAAAACATATATATATATATACATTTACCAAAGGCAAAACATTTATTTCAAGCATAGTTGTAATTTTTTCTCATTTCAACCACGACCCAGAAATGGATTAAGGGAAGAAAATGGATGGATGGATAAATCAAAAATATTAAAATAACTTGTGTTCAAAATTGTAAAATACAAACCCATCTCTGGTCGAGGTCTGGCTAAGTCCTGGTTTATACTTGTTTGGTAGTGGTCCAGTCAGAGTGCTGTACTGGCATTTATTATTTCCATGATGTTATGAAAACTGATCTCAAACCGCAACCTTAAATTCTGATAAAAATGTTGATGTGCAGTATAATTATCCAAATCCGAAGGCTGTGCACTATGATAAAATATTAGTCTTGATCTAATGTGTCACTGAACCTTGTTTTGAGGACTGGCCGATCTGGAAAAACGATTGTTTCCTCAAAACAATCTCAACTTTATCAGATCGTTATAACAGTGACTTGAAAAAGGATTCATATCCATGCACTTTTTTGCCACATCACAACTTTAGCATCCCCAGTTTATTTGATGACACGCGGTCTCACTAGCAAATGAGAAAGGACTATATCAAAATTGGATTTCAATGTGACCATGTCACCAAGCGTTGTGTGACCATCAAGTGTAATTGATATTTCAACAAAAAACAGAAAATACCAATGAGATTGAAAATTAGAATGAGTATATAAAGAATAATTATTACGTAGCAATACAGAATAATACTCTTCACACACCTGCTCCCTCTGCCCCCTTGCACTCTACGGCATTGGCCTCTGCTGCCTCTTGGGGGCAGTAGTCGCAGGACACAGTGGTGCACACAGCTCTCGAGGGCAGAGTGGTCACACAGACGTCCTCCCGCGCCCTCACCGCGCCGGCACTCGCGCTCTGTCTGCGTCTGTGCCTGTAGTCGTCAGCGATGTTGGCTAATTTGAAGTTCTTCTGGAAGGATCCAGAGCAGCGGTGACTGTCGCGGCACTCGGGGCACCGGAACCTACCGCGCTCCGCCTGCCGCTTCAGCCGCTCTAGGCAGTTCTTACAGAAGTTGTGTCCACAAGGCAGTAAGTGCGGGTCACGGTACAAGTCCAGGCAAACGGGACACGTCAGCTCCTCCTGTAACACGCTGGACTGAGCAGACGCCATGTTCCACTAAGGCAAAGTTGAAATAATAATTTAAAGTCTATAGAGTTCCAATCCTTAAACCATGATCAGTTCCATGCCGAGTCAAGCAGCTGTTACCTGTAAACAGACAAAGAGTTATCAGCGTTATTCCCAATGGCCAAAATACATTTTTAAAACCCTGGGTTGCCCCTTCCTGAGCAACTCCCTATTTCACCTGCCTCATAAGATCGTCTTTTTGCCCTAACCCGAACAAATAGAGGTAAATTAGACCGCTGACCACAATAAGGTGTTAAAATTAGACAATACAATACTCTGCCTAATGAAATAGTGCACTACAACTTTAGAAGACTTTCGTCTCAAAATGGATTGAAAACAGTGTGACTTCAATACAAAAAAAACTCACTGGTCTCATTTGTGGAGATTCTATGTTTAGACCAGAGGATTATGTAGACCAGTGGTGTGCAAACTATTTACAATAAGGTTCAGACCCAGAACCTTAACAAGGAGTTTCACACAAAATGCGTGGGAAACCAATTTTAAATTAGCATAAAAAGTGTCTAAATTCACTTTTAATTTAAATACACAGTACAAGTATGCTATGTTCATGCAAATGTAAACATGAATGAACATCCAATTCTCTCTGGACCAATGTCTCCTATGTGTTTTGTTGCATTATTGAGTTATTATTATGACTCTGATCTGTTGTCGGCGAATTGACCACTCTGAATTCCTCTGAGGCGACTGCTGTGGGGATTGTGTGATTTACAAAAATAAATGTCATTTAATACAAAAGAACTTAGAGGATTTGCTGAAATATAAAATATTATGGTAGTAATAAAACAAGTTCAGAAAATACAGTACATGTCTCATTCAAAGTACATATTTCTGGAGGAAGTGTTGAAGTGTTTGCTTTTTTGAAGCAATGTTTAACGCAACTTTCACATCAAATTGCAAACTTCTCTTGCATGTGGTCACAGGACAAAATCTTTAAACCTTTTTTCCAGGAAATCAGCAAAGTTCAAACAGGGTTAACTCCAGACAAAACAAATATTGACATAAACATGGATTATAACTATTTGTTAAACATCTTAAATGTAAAGCAGGAAGTTTCTAACAAGTTTTGTGTCTGTTTATTTAAAGCCCCAATACATAACTTTTATTCAAAGAATAGACAACTTTTTTTTTTATATATATATATGAATCTACTCTTTACTGAAAATTATGTTGGTGCCATAAAGGGCAGATTGATGTAGAATACAATTTTAATCAAATATTGTCCAGTTTGTTTTGCTTTCTTGTATCAATACTTTCTTAATTTAGTATCTAGTCTCCATACTTGCTTCAGTACTCGATACTCTTCAATACTTTAGACAACCCTAGAAAGTATCCTGTGGGTGGAGCAGGACGGGTCACAGCAGCAGAGGAGGGAACACAAGGTGAAATAGCCCCTGGGTGGAGCAGGACAGGTCACAAGGTGGAGTAGCCACTTGGTTCAGACCATTTTCTCTGCTCTAGTCCAAAGTAAAATGCGAAATGCTTCATAAGCGTTTTTCAAAAGTTAGCCTTCCTCCAGTGGATTGTGCAAAACCATGATCACTGAACTGCAGCAACATCTCAGGTAGAAAAAAGCAAGTACAGTATAGTCTGTAAATAGTGTCTGTTTGTTTTTACTAACTTGTGCTGTAACCAACCTGCCAGGGGGTCTGCAGATAAGGCTATAATCTGACATATTTACTTGTGAAATTGTTCATTAATATGTATTGTTCCTCCTTTCTCATATAAATAAATATAAAAGAAAAAGAAAACATGTAAAACACAAAACAACAACTGTTTCAGATCTATTCTTAGGACTCACTTCCGTTTCCAGTCATTCAAAAGTAAACATGACAAGTTAGATGAACGTCAATTTTATCAAAAAACATGTTTTTCGAGGTGGAAAAGCGAGCAAATAACACAAAACGCTGCAATTGTAGATAACTTATTGCTATAATAAATATATATATAAGGAAGTCTATACCAGTCACGCTACTTCCTGTATTCATCATAATCCTCAATTACAAATCTGCTGACCCTATGCTTACCTTAACGCAGAAATTAACATCGATCCATAGTCAGAAGGTCCAAACCACGCCAATCCTTATATTGTGGTAGTGACAGTACCAGAGGAAAGATCCGAGCGGGCATAGCACCAAATCAAAGCCGCCTTGCACCTGCCATCTGCGGCTAACGTGAACACCGACTGCCTTTAGCGCGGTTCAGTCTCGTTCCTATGCGTTCCCCGTGCCCGTTGTGTCCGCTAACAGTCTGCACAGAGTCAGGATTGTGCTAACATATTCCAGTGACTGCGTATGTTGTTGTATTTTTCCAGTTTTTTCCACTTTTGTCGCTCACACACACGCGCACCTGAGTAAACACAAGAGGCGATAGCAGCGGTGGATGCGGGAGAAATGCCGCGTTCAAAGACGGTGCGAAATGCGAGCACTGTGACCTCCAGTGTAGTTTTGTTTCTGCCCAGCGTTTAAACTTAATTTGAAAATATTAAATAACAATTTGGGAGATCTGTTTTGTAACCGTAGTTGTTCCCTGTCTCTACTCAAACACAGTCTGTAAGTAATGTTTTTTTTTTTTTTTTTTAAATACTGGGAAGTGAAGTGGGAATTCATATCAAGGGAAAGCAGCATTGGTGACGCGCCCGTTCCAATGATTTTAATCATTTATAATTAATATAATAATCCGTATAAGATTTTTTTTATGTAGAAAATGTTGGTTTCAAACTCCTGTCTCTTAGGCTACTGTGATGAGTATAACAAATAAAGCTGTTTTTAAATAAATGAATAAAGACTGATTAATTAAATGTTTTTCATTCTCTCGATTCTTTATGTTGGGACAAATTACCTAATTTACAAGAAAAGAATAAACGTATGTTTACAATATTCTAAATGCTAAAAATCTTGCATCAATGTAGTAATACAAATGGGGTGTAATAAGGTTACAATGGTGAATTTTACATTAATTTTATTATTTTTTTGGTTTAGCACAAAATACACACAGTTTATTTGTTGTTAAAGCAAAAACAAACAAATCCTCTTTAAATTCCCATCAAAAAGAGACAAAATAAGATTAATTCAACGGAAAAAAGTATAACAGTTTCTAAAAAAATCTGTATATCGCATGTAGAGTGACAAGCAAACAGCAAAACACCTAATAGTTAATAAACAAAAGAATATTCAGTTTAAATGTTGGCACTTTGGCAGTTTGGCTTCTTACAGCACATTGATGGAGTGTACGTAAAACAACAACAGACAAAGACAAAAAACAATGATAAATGCAATTAAGTATATTCCATTGAAAAAAAAAATCAGTAAATGATTCACAATAAATAACAAATATTTGAGCAAAACATTTAGCATCTTTTATGTAGCACAATAACTGTCCTTAGAAAAGACAGATGTATTTGTCATGAAAGCCACTCTATAAATATCATGCATCATCACTTCTCCCATGTGGACATTGAACCAACTTTCTCCTGTCGCTTTGTTGTTTACATTCTGTGTTTTTATCTGAATAAAAATACCCAATTTTTTCAATGTAATGAGCAGAAAATGCAGAGAACTGTTTCAAAAGCAAGAAAGAGTTGTCAAAGAAATAAATACAAAACATGTTTATCGACTTGCCACCTCTGTTTATATGTGACCATTCTTTAGCAGAATTACTTTTTAGCGACGCATACAGATAAAGTTGTATTTGTCCATAAAATTCTTCTTGACCCACTTTTTGTCTCCTCCTCTCTCCACAGCTGCAACATGACCACACTCGCTGCCTCCACGTTCCTTCCAGTTGTCGTTGGTCTCAGGGACGTACTTGCCGTCGACCCAAACCCAAGCCTCGAAGAAGCAGGCGAAATGCAGCCCTATCCACACAAACTCACTGTTGGCGTCTCTGATGTCAGCCTGGACCTCTTGCTTCAATGATTCGATGTCGATGGACCAGGCCAAGTCGCGGTAGTTGTGTCTGCAGTGGATCAAAGCCTCCTCCCAGGTTTTATTCTCCTTCACCAGGACAAACGAGCCTGAGCGAGCAAACACACAGTTTAATGGCATCATGGGAATTTGGGAAAGTCACAATTTGGAAGTGCAACTCACCTTTAAGGTTAGTTTTAGGCGCTGTGGACAAGAAACAGAACACATGCAATAACTGAAGTTCAGCTGATTAAGAATATTAAACGTACACATTTACCATAAAGCCAAGTGTACCGCAAAACTATAAAGTACAAAATAAAATACAACAATGGATTCTTTTCACTTCTTGTGCACTTTATTTGTGATGATTTAATTACAGTAAATCCATGAAACTCTCAAAGCACTTTGGTTCTGTCACTAGTTTTCACATGCAGCTTTTGTTTGGCCTCTGTCACATCTTTAGATCAGCCTTTCCAGACAGAAAAGTGTTCAACCAATCAGGATTATCTCAAAGTGTTAAATAGTGACTCCTCAGGCTCAAAACTGTTTTCTATTAAGATGAAGAGGACTAGAGAGTCCCGCTCTCCCCATCTCTGTGTCTATTGAGCGCCACCTCTACCAGCCCCATACCTACCAGATACACAAAATGCCTTCTGACATCTCTAGCTATCGCCAAGAGGATAATCTTACTAAACTGGAAAACCAAAAACTCAATAAGCATCAACCACTGGATCAACTCCCTCACTCATCACATCACCACACATCACCCATCATCTCAGGATGATAACGTACTGTCCTTCACGGAAACTTGGTCACCCTTCATCAAATACCTCAATATCACCATATACTAATCACTAGTGTTTGGAAGTCCCTGCACACACACACACACACACACACACACACATACACACACACACACACACACACACACACACACACACACACACACACACACACACACACACACACACACACACACACACAGAGAGAGAATCCTAACACCATCAGTATTATGCTGCTAACCCTGTCACCACAGTAACCAAAGCTCTTTACCAAACCAAAACTGAAAAAATGATTAAAACCAACAACAGACTCACACCTACTAGATCAGGCCATTCAGGAGGGGAGGCATGCGCTCTAGGGGTGACTCCCCTGGAGCGCAGACCTCCCACAGAACCCTGGATTTTTAATGCATAACATAAGCCACGCTCAACACACACATACAATACACACAAGATTAAACAAGGAAGTGGCCCTGCTGTTGCTGGAGGAGACCCCTCCAGCAACAGCAGGTGCATGTTTTTAATGCACTAGACGCGCACAAAAAATAAATAAATGAAAAAAAAAAATATATATATATATATACAAATAATAATAATAATACAAAATAAGCAAATCAATATATTGTCACATAAACAGCCAAAATAGTGTGGTAAACAGTGACCTATGTACTGCACAGGTGGACAAATGCAAGACAAAATAGTATTAATAACCTGGCCTTGTGGAGGTCTGTGGAGACAGCAAGTGGCAGCACTCATTTTATTTTTTTTGTTTTTTATTTTTTATTTTATTTTATTTTATTTATTTTTTTCGTTTTATTTACTGTTATTGTTCTGTTTTTCTATTTCTTCTTCAGACACATATGGTCACACATTTATACATATACACAAACACTCAAATACATTAACACCCACACTTACACATTAGAACCTACATATTTCCACGACAGTACTTGCTTGTTATTTAATTTTTTTATTAAGTATTTTGTTTTCTTTGTTTCATGCTCTGGATGCCTTAAAAATGCCCCCCCCCCCACTCCCCCTTCCCTCCCCCACCAATATATTCTGCACTACTATGTTGTACATAGTCATTTATGTTTTTTATGGAATCTGTATCACATGGTGTTAAATAAAAAAAAAAAAAAAAAAAAAAAAGATGAAGAGGATTAGTTTATCATCTCCTTATATGGAGTGAAAGAATAATGACACATGAAGCGTCTCAGAGTGTCCAAAAAAGTGCTAAATAAAACTGATGCTTTTCTATTTTTATTATATTTATTTAGGAATTCACTAAAGACTCACATTTCCTCTGAGCTTCTGTAACATTTAGACTGTCCAACACGGACAAGAGAAAGACCATTCATGTTTAGAACTGACTGTGTACAATTTAATATTACTCTAAAAACAAAATGTGAATTGTTGTTGCTTGTTCTCTTACCTCCTTCACAGATGAAGCTTTTATTTAGTCCACAGTCGTCGCTCTCCCATCGGCCCTCGGCTCCCAGTGCTGCACATTTCTTTGTTTGCGGATTTACCCATGTGTTCCAGTTTCTGAAAGAGGAGTCGCTTCTGTCGGACCAGCCCCAGGTGTCCCGGAACAGACCGATCCAACACCTTGAAGGAAGCGTAAGGTTCTGTTTCTGAAACAGTTTGTACTGGTCCAGTCCACTCATCAGGTCAGTGTGGTGAGTTCTGCAGAACTGCTGAGCCTTTAACCAGGTTCTTGGGTTTGTGGCATCATTGATCATGACAGTAGTGTTGGAGGAGTCTGTGGAACAAGAGAAGACAATATTATTTTATTCATCTTTATTAAGGACTGAAAATGTTGAGGTCCAGAGATAAATGTTACAGTTGTTGGGTTTTTATTATTATTAAACTATTGAAATAGAAATAGGTTCAAAGTCTTCCTGTTCACATCTGCAGAACTGATAAACAGCAGATGAGTTCAGTTACAGCACTGGATTTGTGCTTTTAATGTCAAATTTGACTATTCAGAAATCTGGAATAATTGCAAGTAAAAAAAGCAAAACAATTTTTTTTCTGATCTCAGATGTTTCTAATGCAAGAAAATTACAGTTTGGAAACAAGGAAACATACAAAATGACCACTCAAACTGCCCCCTGTGCCTCATCTTACACTTTACAGGTAATAATATGAACTGTTTATAAATAAGATTAATAACACAGTAATATGAATATACTAAATAGATAAGCTTTTTTTTTTTAGGTGTGTTTAAAATATTAAACTGTTTCCTCACCGTTGTAGCAGATAAAACAATGTGGTGTACGACAGTAATGATCATTCCACAGGCCATCACTGTCCATCATGCCACAGTTTTCAGTTCCTCTATCATCATTAGGTTCCCCTTGTTTCCACGGAGAGTCTCCTTCCTTGTATCTGACTGTGGGCTGAGACCAGTGCCATTTCCTGTCTGTGAGGTTGTCACTGGTTTGATGAAGTCCGATCCAGGCGTCCGTGCGTCCGTTTGCAGCAGCCTTCAGGTTCTTCAGGTCCTTCATGTCGTTCACTGAGGCCAGGTCTGTGTGCTGCTCTCTGCAGTGACTCTGAGCCTCAGACCACGACATCTTCTTATCTATAAAGTGGTACTGAAGGTCCAGAGACACTGACCAACACAGCTGACCTACAGGGAGAAAACACAAACTAAACATATCTTCAGGAGGTTATGGGATTTAGACATTTTAGAAGATTAGACTCTTCCTCTTCTAAGTTAAACAAGATATTTATGTTGCTTGAAGGAGAGAATTTTCCATTGGTCAGTTTACCTCAAGTCAAATTTAGAAAATGAATTATTATATCACAGGATTTAAAATCACTTCTGAACTTATACATCTTTGGGAAATATTTTGACAATTGCATTTACAGTATCTGTTTATATATGTTTTAAAATATGGGAAAATAAAATAACTTATAAGAAAGAATAACAAAAACTCACTCAGCAGCACAGAAAGCAGCAACGTTTGATCCATCTTCACCTGAAAAGAGAAAAGTCTTAAGTGTGAGGACCAAAGCAGGACTAAACTATGTCTGAACCAGGATTAAACTAGGACTTGACTAGGACTGGACTAGGACTGGACCAGGACTGGACCAGGTCTGAACGTTTGTGGCGTATCGCTCACCTTTTCCTCTTTCTGCCCTTGCGTGTGGATCATGATTAGTCTCTTCTTCTGGTTTTGAATATGAAAATGATTCTAAGCAACAGTTACAAAACAACACACCTCATTCAACAAAAATAAACTCATTTGGGTGAGGCTTCCAGGGAAGTATCGGTTATACATGTTCAAATGATGGGCAAGAGTATTCATCACATCTTTACATCTTGTTAAAAAGACCCTAAACTTAAAATCTTCAAAGTCATTCATGCAGAGAAACAAGTACAAAGTTCTGGAACGGCATCTCAGTCCCAAGACCTGAACATTATTAAATATTTGTTGTGTGACTTAAAACGGACTGTCCTTGTTTGAAACCCATCCAACCGGACTGAACTAGAGAAGATCTGCAAAGAAGAATGGTCCAAAATACCTTCCACCAGAATCCAGGCTCTAAACGTTCAGAAGAATGTAGATAGATAGATAACTTTATTTGCAGACTCAAGGTTCAGATCAACACAGACACAGACAAAAAAAACACAAGATAAAATAAACAACAGACAATGAAAAGCTCTAAACTTTCAAGAGGCAGTCAGACCAATTTTTCCAAAGCAGCGACGTGTAACGCACCTCGCTGCACACAACACTGGACAATAAAATAATCACAGTATTTTTGAATTGTTCAAGCGACATATAAACTTAAACATCACATTTCTCAAGACAGCTTGCAAAGTGTTTACTCGATTTGACACAAAGAGTTGACTTGTCCATCTGGGCTTTTTTAATAAAATTCTCAGCGCATCGTCAACTGTCAGAGCAGGAGGAGAATATCTGAGACAGTGTGGTCGCTTGTGCATATAACATCCTGCACTGACGGTACATGTCCTCGTCATCGGTCAAACGGTCAGTTATGATGTGACCGAGGTACGTGACAACATCACCCACAGTCAAGATGTTCCCTGAGAGCCTAAAGTGGAGTTGTATTTTACATCCTGAAGTTCCCCAAACTCAGAGCAAACATTTAACAACTGCTGGAGACCGGCTGAGCTCGGACTAAACACCACCAGGTCGTCCGCATACATTAAGTGATTAATTAAAGCACCACCGACCATACAGCCAGTTTTGCACTTATCCATCCAGCTGCCTGGACAGGTCAAACATTCAAACAGGATGTGGAAGGAAGAAAATTAAAAGCACATGCCTAATTTGGTTTCAAAAATGATTGCCCACTTTCAGTAATGTTATAACATTATTTAACTTCTCAAATAATTTCTGGGTTTTATTTCATATATGAAATTTTGTCCACTGACATTTTCTTATCCAAACAACCAATGAGTCAAAAAGTCCATGAAACTTTGATAGGGATGCCACCGGGTACGCTTCAAGGTAACACAAACATGATATATTTCTTATCATTCTTAAGTCCATTAGAGAAGGGTTTGGGCGTTGTGTGAACATTTTTGAAAGCGACGAGAGAGAGACGTTTGTATTCTTTAATGATGTATTGCCAGGACATATATGGTATGACGCACAAGACAATCAGTGAAAAAAACAGAAAATACCAGGGTAAAAGAGATACATGAGAGTTTTAACATAAGGTAGGACCTCTTTTATTGATATTCATCACCTTTTCACACCACAAGCCGGGGGGAACATAACGGACGGGATTCGTCTTGGTCTTAGGTTAATTCGGTAGTTAACCACTGTGTCTTTCGTTGTACTTTCCGGTTTCCTGGCGACCAGCCCCACCCGCTATGTGTCGTTCGTACCGTTGAGTGTGACGTTAAAAACTCCTGTGCAGGGTCTTTCACCCCTTGTTTTGTGTTATTGTCATTTCTAAATGTCAGCTTTTAGGTCTGTGGGTCCCAGATGCCCTGTTTTGGGTAACCTTTGGTTGTCTTTTTCGCTCATGTTGTTTTGTATAATATTTGGATTTCTAAATCCCTTTCATTTTTTGCCAGGTTCTTGCGAGGTTTTTTTGGGTTTATATTTTGTTTTGCCACGTGACAGTATTAACATTCACAAAAATATCTGATCATATTTATCTTATGAAAAAGAGGGATCTAGCACTGAAAAAATCGATCAAAACTAAATTACAGACAGATATACTGGTCTTTAAGGGGACTAAGGAATAAAGTTGTTAGTGAATTAAGAAAAGCCAAGTCCTCTTATTTCATGCATCTGTTTGCTGAATCACATGGAAACAGTTCGCTTATATGGAAGCACATTAATAAATTGACCAATCGTAATTCGAGTCAGAGTAAATGCATAACTAAACTGGATGTAAATGGAACGATCAGTAGTAATTCTTTGGAAATTGGAAATGAATTTAACTTCTATTTTGTTGATTCAGTGGAGAAGCTTGCTGCAAGTTTCAATTCAATTTCTGTCGCATGTGATGATGTGAAAGATTCAAATTCATCCTTTAATGTCACACAAGCTGATCAAAAAAAGATCCATACAATTATTAATCAATTAAATAGTTCAAAAGCCAAAGACCTTTTTGATTTAGATACACATTTAATCAAAAAGTATAGTAACGAATTGTTAAAACCAGTATCACATTTAGTGAAATAATCAATCAAAAATAATGAATTTCCTGAAAATCTCAAAACGGCTGTTGTGACTCCAATTTTTAAATCAGGAGCTACAGATAAAGCTTGCAATTATCGACCAATCTCAATTTTACCTGTGATTTCCAAAGTGTTAGAAAAGCTTGTGGCTGAACAGTTGATGAACTACTTGGAGGAACATAGTCTACTAAACCCTAAACAATTTGGATTTCGACCAAAGCACTCCACTGAGATGGCTGTATGTCACTTTACAGAAACCATCAAAACTAGTTGGGATAAAGGTAAATGTGTGGGAGCAGTATTTCTCGATTTAAAAAAAGCTTTTGATACTGTAAACCACCAAGTACTCTTGAGAAAACTGAAACAACTAAACTTTTCCAAACAAGCTTTAAATTGGTTTAAATCATACCTTGCATCAAGACAACAGTGTGTAAAAATAAATGGTGTTAAATCTACCATCCAAAAATGTAATTTAGGTGTACCACAAGGGTCGATATTGGGCCCCTTGTTGTTCTGTCTATACATAAATGATTTACCGGAAATCTGCAAAAATACCAGCTGCCAATTGTATGCAGATGACACAATCATTTATGTAGCTGCAGATTCCCCTAAACAGGCTTCAGACTTGTTGAACAGACAGCTTGTCAGCACATCTCAGTGGCTGCGGGACAACTGTCTGACCTTAAATTACACTAAAACTGTTGCCATGTGTTTCTCTCTAAAGAGAAATTCACCAAATGATCTAAACATTAATATTGACAAAAATAAAATCGAGCAGGTTGATGAGTTTAAGTATTTGGGGGTTATTATAGATTCTAAACTGAAGTTTGATGCCCATGTCAGAAAAATGTCTAAGACCATCAAGACAAATTTAAATTGTTTCCGTATAATTAGGTCTTGTGTATCAACTCAGGCGGCACGAGTATATCTACATGCTATGATTTTATCTCATATGTCGTATTGTTCAATCGTTTGGGGCCAGGCCTCACAATCTGTCCTAAAGCCTTTAACATCACTCTACAAGCAAACACTTAAAGTGTTTGATCAAAAACCAATGAAGTGGCATCACTGCACTATCATTCAAAAATATAAAATGATGACATTCGATAGCTTCGTCAGTTTCTCTTTTATAAAAAATATATTCAAGTGTCTTAATGGTCTTGCTCCGTCTGTAATGTGTCAGTTAGTACAAAAATACACTAATCAAGGAGTGAGCACCAGAGCTGGAGTCAGCGGGAACTGCAGAGTGAAGTTTTGTAAAACTGCTCTGGGTCAGTCTGCGTTCTCAGTAAAAGGGACACAGTTATGGAACTCTTTGCCACTGGAGCTAAAGTCCCAAATGGACCTGAGACTTTTCTCACAAAAGCTGAAGCTGTGGCTAAAGAACAAACAAAAGTGTGAGCACTGAACAGTTTGGCTGGACTTGGGATGGGAAGTGGTCAGATATGTCTTCTCCTCTTTCTTTTTATTGTTGTATTGTGTGATGCCTTTTACTGATTTTTCATCTTTCTGTTCTGTTTTAAACCCCTTTGAAAAGCCTAACCAGGGACGGGGGCTGCAAATTAGCCTATGGCTAGACGCCTTATGTACATAACATCGGCCACTGAGCTGGCAATGTTTTCTTGTACTGTCCCTGTCAAATAAACAAATAAATAAAAAAATAAAAATAAAAAACAAATACAACAATAGTTCAAACTTTATGCACACAGGGACAGAGTAACCAACCGAATCAAAGGACCAGAAGCACAAATCCATCTGTATTAACCTGTTAACTCCTGTGTGGGAGGACTTGGTCAGGGCCAAAGGCAAAGGACAATGCCTCACATCTACAAACAACCCCTCCATTCCCGTGGCTCAGACCTCCTGGGGCCGTCAGCAAACCAGCATGTAACCTCACACGCCATATTACAGGCCTATATGTTAGTTCACATGAAACATAGATAAAACACAATGTAATCAAAGTTCAGTCAAATGATCAAAACAACATTTTCTTAACATTTCCCTGATATTTATCATTTTAATAAATCAAACAATTTAAGTTCAATATGGAAAACAAATGATGGAACATGAATTACTCAAAATGAAAACTAACTTGTGGCTAACTTGTTGTGACTCAACTTTGAGACACAGTGATGACGGAAGCGAGACGCCGAACACACTGATGCATCAAAGCCTCAAACCAATACCAACCACCACACCAGGAAACCTACGCAGACAGGGGAGAACAAGCAAACTCCACTCAGAAAGGCCCTTTCCAGACCAGGATTTGAACCCTTTAGGCCCATTTGAACCTTGTAGGCAAAATTGGGTAAGTGTCTTGCCCAAGGACGCAACGACAGCCGAGGGAATCGGTGGAGAAGGTCATGCGGTGGGCTCAAACCAACGACCTTCAAGCTAAAAAGCTAAAGTTCTACCAACTGAACCACTGTCACTGTCACGGAAATGGACTTATTTGGCTGGAGCATGAAGTAGTGTGAGGTGTTTCTAAAA